TAATATTGATATAACTACTTAAGTTCTAGCCGAATCAGTTTAAATATGAAGACGTAAAAGCAACAGAATCTTACAAGATATGAACTATATGATCATATAAATTTCCTTAGAAATCCAAGACAGAATTATTAAAGGCAGAAATCGAATACTATCCATTTTCTTTTGGTTTTATAACTGTAACAACTGTACTAAATAGAGTGAACAAATTAAAATCTATAAAATAACCATATTACAAAGAGCTGACCCAGAATAACGTATGCGTGCGTTTGGAAAAGTGTTTAACTTAGCTTTTAAATATTTTATAACCGCCATAAAAACAAATTTATACATCACGCAAAATTTATATGATGTAAAGTTTTCCAACGAATGAGATCAGAAATGGATGTTTATTTTTTTTTCTTTACTACGAAAACGAAATATAATAATTACTGTAGAATGTAATATAAACGTTTACAACAGACGTCTTAAAAACAGTTGGTTTCTATGTTTGAGTAGCGCAAAACTGAATAAAGGAGTATCTTCTTTGTATTTGCCATGGGAAGCGGATCGAGCCCTCAATTCTAGCGTTATAAGCCTTGGGGCTTGCTTTAAATCACAGTGGTTGTTTGTTTATGGATTTCGCGCAAAGCTACACGAGGGCTATCTGCGCTAGCCGTCCCTAATTTAGCAGTGTAAGACTAGAGAGAAGGCAGCTAGTCATCACCACCCACCACTCTTGGGCTACTCTTTTACCAACAAATAGTGGGATTGACCGTCACATTATAACGCCCCCAAGGCTGAAAGGGCGAGCATGTTTGGTGTGATGGGGATTCAAACCCGCGACCCGCAGATTGCGAGTCGAGCGCCCTAACCACATGACCATGCCGGGCCTATTACAGTGTTAAAACACTTCGTAACTCGAACGATTTCGAAAGATATTTTAAATGTGTGTACAACAGTGCAACATCATAATGGATAATTTAGCTCAGTTATTTACCAACACAGGTTCATAGCTCAGCGGTAAGTCAGATGGCTTATAACGCTAAAAGTTGGTTTTCGATACCCGTGGTGAGCACAGATACCTCCTCGTGTAGCCTTGTGCTTAATAACAAACAAGCAAAATACAAATTCAGATGTAAATAAATAAATTGATTTTAGAGTATCTATACGAACACAATTTTATCAATAAATTCACCTTAAACTTCATTTTTGGTGAGTCATTTTGGTATTAACAGATTGAAACTGGCTTGACAGACTTCTAAATCTGTCTTAGAAATCTCAGATTATTAGATTTTGCAATACCAAGTTTCGCTTAAGAACAGTGAACAAAAGTAAAACACGCGGCATTTATGTAAATCAAACCGAAGTCTGTTTTTTATGCTTCATATTACACTTGTACAAAATTGTTACTGTTCAGTTATATAAGATAACTGAAATCCAAAAGAAAGGACTAGTCTTTGAAACATACAAGTAACTAACTACTGATATTAAATTATGTCTTGTTTTTCGCTTTTACTTATACGTGATTATTGCTTTTTGTCCCAGGGTTTGTTAAATACTGCATTGTTGTAAACACTGCAGGATTAAAATTTATTTAAATATGAGTCATCGTTGGATAAGTAGAATTTAATTAAAATTTGTAAGACAAACAGTTACATTAATAGCTTAGTACAACATAAAATACCATATCGTTCGAGATAAATGGATAACGCAAGATATTAACACTTATACTACTCAGCTTCATTTGCTTTCTATTTCTGCTTTATACAAAATAAATCTTTATTTTAAATACTGTTTTTTTTGCATAGTAAATTATCTGTCGCAGCTACTCAATTCAACGCGTAGCTATAATATAGTGGCTGGTTCATTTATCCAAGAAATTATTGTTCGTGACCCGTCGCTTATTAAATGAATATTCTGCATAATTTTATGCTCGTGCGTGCTCTATAACAGTGACGCTATTCGATTGCACAATATTTTTGCGGTGGGTGCTGTTTACTAACTGCTTTCTCTTTAGCCTATCAGTTGAAAAGTACAAACGGTTATGCTCAGGTAACCCTTGTGTAATTTTGCTCGAACTTCTTAAACAAAAGCTATAGAATAACATTAAAGAAACAGGATATTTGATGTTATAATGAACTGAACAATTCAAGTATATTATCAATGCCCGATAAACATTAACATTCACACTATTGTTCTTCAAATATAAAAGCTTCATGAGATTTTAGTAATAAACCCTATTTTAACCCTATTTTCAAAAGTTCCACAGGATTCATAATAAAAGCGTGTTTATTTTTCGGACTGAATACATTATACTGAAAATATAAAAGGCGTGTACTATAATAGACTTGTATTATAATAGATACATGATTTTGTTATTTTTTTTAGCTTTCGTCAATTGTTCATCTTCAAGCTTCTTCAGTGAAGAGCATTTTCGGTGATATTTTTTTTTTTCTGGAGATGCAAATATATTTTTGATAAATTCATATGAGCTACGAAGGCAAAATGTTATAATAAAATAACGTACATATGAATAAGAAAATCAATAGTAACATGGTTTCTCTTACGTAACAAATCTTTTAAATTGGGAGAGTTACTGAAGGTAATATGAGTTCCTAAATAACTAGTGCCTTTAAAGTATATTATAAAAACTCAAAATAGGTTCCATTCCTAAAAACAATATTTTGAATCATTGAGCATTTGTTTAAATTACAAAGGATACCGTAATAAAGAGAGCACATTTAATTTTAAGGAATATAATACCGAAATATGGAAATTCCTTTAACATTGCACTTGTGTTTTCAAATAACCTATATCTTATATGTTAAGAGACTAGTTAAATTTTCCATAGTAATATATGTAGCGAAATAAAAAAAAAGCTGGGTTTAAGTAAATATATTTACCAATAAAAGCACAGTGTTGGGTTGGGTGGTCCTTACAAGGTCAGCAATCATGGTGAAATATGGACCCAGCATAGATGAAAATATTACAAAAATAGAGTTTATCTTGTTAAGAAATCTTCCAAAAGTGAAGTAGCTTTTGTAAACTGAGAGGCATAAAAACATTTAACCACGTCTCTAATAGGTGATGAAAGTTTCTTAAAACATATACTCTATAAGCTAAAATAATTACAAAAAACAAGAAACATTCTAAGATCAGAAGAATGCCAATAAATTATCAATATATTTATTTGCTGGTACTGAATCATTGATTTGTATATTTCAAAAGAAACAAAGATTGGGAGCTTTAAGGATATCTATATCTCACACTAACGTCACTATGTAAACATTTACAATTCATTTCCAAGCCTTTGGATATTAAGGGAAGAATAGCATAATTTTTGTACGGCCATAATATGTCCCTCAATGACATAATGATAGAACACATGTACTTGGAACATGCCGACAGAAGCGTTTAAATCTAACATTTCTAATCAATATTAGCAGTACTTCTTATATAAAGTGAAATATTAGGTCAACTACTTTAAGATAACATGTGCAGCATTCTCTTTTTTATCAATATTATTAACTCTCTAGTTATTTATTGTTAGTTTTGCTTCCCCGGGAGCACAGCGGTATGTCTGCGGACTTACAGCGTTAGAATCCGGGTTTCGATACCGTGGTAGGCAGATCACAGATAGCCCATTGTGTTGCTTTGTGCTTAACTTCAAACAAACAATACCATGTCTAGAAAAAACTTCAGCCAGCAAAGTTTGTTATTGTTAATTATTGCAATGGAGATTGTATTTTGCAAATGAATGCTAAATCAAGTTACTGTTAATTTATTGCTCTTAACATATTTCGGTTACAATAATAGCAGATCAAGAACAATTAAATTTTTAGGCTTAAAATTATGTACAGTGTTACGAAAATATGTAATATACTTTCTGTGAAATTCTATTTTAGATGTTTCTAGCCCTTTCCCTGTATAACTGAACATGCAACAGCAAAATCTGAATCATTTCTAAAATTATTATATAAACTTGAAACTCCCTTAGAAAACATATAAAACCATAATAACAACCATTAAATCATTTCCGGTTTTAATAGCAGCGACAAAATAGCAAAATAAGAGAGACTCTCCACAATTAGGCTACCCATGAAAGAATTGGTTACCCACCATTTTCGCCAGCATCGTTACCAACGGCTCTTACCCTAAATTATTAATTTTTGTGGACCTTCGCTTCCTGCGTATCTAATGAGTCACCTACGCTATGTCTGTTAAATATGTTTGATCGCGTGCCCTGTAAATTGTTATTAAACCATTTGTATAATACTGGTGCTCCTTTTTAGATATATCCTGTATTTCGTTACATTAAAGTTGTGAAATATAAGCGTAAAGGTAATATATTAATGGTTAATGTTTCTCACCAACTGATATACCGTTTTTTGTAGTTGTTCTTTTTAAGTATCACCAGTTTCCACTACCCGGCTTAAAACAATTGAAGTGCTTAGGAAAAATGCATTTGTTACTCCTGATTATCTTTACTAAATTTATTTTCCAGTATAAACATAAAACATACTAGTACTATGTGCAGGCAGTATAGAGTATTTAACTCCGTGTGTATTTATTTGTTTAAACTTGGATCATACGTATGATTTATTACATATATACACTGGACTTACTGTAATTTTAACCCATGTAATATGACTAAATCCACAAAACTAAACCAACTTTACACGCTTTTGAAGAACACATATATTGATTATAACATCCATTATTAATATTTCTGATTACTATATGAATATAATGGTATTTTGCGCTACAAATCATCTGTCAAATTCCTATTACTTTACTTCATCAGGTATTTTGTATTTAAGTACACTGATTTGCTACAAGTAAGTAACAGCTGTTAGTTTCTGAAAGTATACAACGATTCAATATAAGTCCGTCACGATAAAATACCGCCCTGTTCAATAGTGAATGGACGGCACTTGCCACCTACTGGAGAATAGCCTGAACCACGGTGATATATATATTTCTGAACAGCACGACTAGTTCACACAACTGCACGTGCGATAGAATGAAGAGTTAGAGTGACGGGAAATTACTTAACTGGCTGGGCAGACATGAACTTCAGTTTCGTTCTTTCCCTTCTTGATTTCAGTTCTGGTGGCCTCTATTGATATATCAACAGTTGGTCTGTGATGGCTTATCGAGGAAAAAAGTCTTACTGCAAGGACCATTTCTGGCCTGTCATTCTCACCGTTTGGTTGACCTTACACGGTAAGTTCTACCAAGATGAATTTGTTTGAAAATGAAACTCAGTAAATAAATTTGATCAAAATGGGCCTCATAATATTTTATACAATAATTTTTTTTTCCTGAATCTCAGCTTCTAATGATTGGTCGTATTGTAAAAGTAATTATCAAACTGCTCCATTTGATTTTTATGTTACATTCAAAGCCATGTTCAAAACTTTTACCTTAACTTATATTTGATATTTCAGACATCGCTTAAAATGTTTGAGCTTTCTTGAATCTCAAACTTATAATTTCATGTCATCTAAAAAAACAAGAAAAGTATTATTTCTTTATATATTTGAATATTTTTAATAATCAGTATTGTCTGAAAAATATTGTTTTATCTCAAGCTGTTCCATATCTTTCAGATTTATTTGTTACACTAATTAATGAGACTATGTAACAACAAAACGTGCCGGGATTTCCAACACATCTAATATCGAGTTGTGTGACAAACCTTAATGACGTCTAATAACCATTAATGCTTTGTTAAGATGGCTCGTTGTTAAATTCTGAGACTGATCTATCGTTTATTTGCTAAAACTATAAAACGAAACGGTTTCCGCCTGCACTGATATTCTTCGCTGTCACTAGTTTTTAGTTTGACAATATTCTGTCTTTACCATGAACATAAAAATGTAAGTTTATACTCATTTTTGTGTAAAACCGTTTTAAATCGGTATGATAGCCACAACAAGCAAGAATAAATCACTACTTGGGAAATCCCGATAACCAGAACCCTTTTAAAACAATACCTTTTAAAAAAGGAAACTACCCCCAAACCTTCTCTAATGTATCAGATGTATTGAAGTATTAGTAAAACAAAGTGGAATTCATACTATTCTGTAACTAAATTCTAGTTTCATAGGAATGGCAATTAGAATATATTTTATAACTTTCAATCACTGATAAAGTAAAGTAAGATTCATTTAGAACAACTGTCAATAGAATGGCATTAATTTTCTTAATTTATATCGAATATTAAATTATCAAGTGACTTGAAACTTTCTAATTTCCGTAATTTTTTCTCTTGCTTACATATATATATGAATTAACACAAAGGCTTAGGTTTACCATTACTTATTATCAACTCAAAAGATATACATGAAATTATTTAAACTCTTAATGAGCAATTAAGTTCTACATTAATGTTTTTTCTACATTTTAATTATCTATTTTTTTTCAATTATATTAAAAATGAACATAGAAACCCTTTGCTCTCCTGAAGAAGAATAGTCAACTATTCGAAAGCGCTCGAGTTTTGGGTCTTATCTTAAGTCTATAACACTTTATATGTTAGCCTTTGTGCTAACTCTTTCATCAAAAAGAACAACGTAGAAATTTGATCAGTATCATCACGAAAACTTGACGTGCTAGAGGAAGACTAAAAACAGATTTGGAATCAGCGTCCCAAGAGCTATCTAGCCTACCTATAATTATATGAGATGAAAATGACTTGTTAGCCAGTGATATTAGATAAATCTATTAAGAAGATTTTTTTCAATGTGTGAACAAATAAAGCATCAATCTCATTCCAAAGAGAAGAAGAAGAAGATAATTTTACTAGAAACTAACTTGAGTTGGAAGTGATAACGTTCAAGACTGTACAGATTGTTAGTCTAGAAGTCCATGGTTTCCATCCTATTGCTGTTAATTCTAAGACTAGTTTTGTGATTGGTAGAGAGTTAACCTTTTGAAAGAAAAAACGTAAGATATATAGTTTTCTCTGGTAAATGGTTGTTCCTATTTTGTAAGACACATTTATATTCCTGTGTGTACTATACTACTTAATTTCAAAGAAGTGACATTAGACGGCTCCGTATGGCCAATTGGTTAGGGCACTTGACTCGAATCCCCGTCCCACCAAATATGTTCGCTCTTTCAGCCGTGGGGGCATTATAATGCAACGGTCAATCCCACTGTTCATTGGTTAAAGAGTAGCCCAAGAGTTGGCGGTGGGTGGTGGTGACTAGCTGCTTCCCTCGAGTCTTTCACTGCTAAATTAGGAACGGCTAGAGCAGATAACTCTCGTGTAGCTTTGCACGAAATTCAAAACAAACAAAATGAACACTCCTAAACTTAAGCACTCTTTCAGTAGAGAAAACCAAGCTTTGTTTTATTCAATCCAGTATTGAAAATTTATAGGGACAAAAAGAGGTATAAAATCACTATTCGTTTACGCTAAACCTAAATATGGATATGTGTTCAAAGTTATATAATGCTTTAAGTAATGAACAAAACGGTGGAGCAACTAAAATAATATAAGCTGTGGTGAATATTGTCAATGGTAATCTCTATCTGAAGAAATGCATACTTATTTTGTCGCTATACACTTAACACTTTGAGAAGCAAATACAACTTTACGTTTTACAAATATATTTTTCAAAAGCTTAAAAGTTCGTGGGATATTAAGTTTCTGTAACTTTAAATAATATGGTCATTGAAATTATATAAAACTACCGATGATCAGTATGAGTGCTACGCAGCTAGATAAGATTGAGATGATACAGAATGCCTATTTAAGACAGGATGTAATTCAGCCAAGAACATCAAAGAACCTCCCAGGCTTCAGCAACATTGCAGAGTATCAATAGCGCTTACAAACGGAATTTTTCACTAGGCCCTTGCACTGTAAAGGATATCATTCCGTCACCGAGGTTCTTTTGAACTGGTACATTCTAGATTCCCAACTACCATGCAAACACCGACTAGGCAGTATACTGCCTAAAAGACGGGTCAGGAGACTCCATGGGTGGGCAGGTGTTATACAGGCAACACTGAGATAATCTATCTCCGCTAGATCTCAGACATGAGATAAACATTTGGAATAAGCTTGTCAATACTTTTGTTTTGAGTTTACGTACTAATTATAAATATTATTTTATTATAAATTACAGCTTTTACAGCAAAGAAGAATACTGTTTAAAACAGGTACGACTTTTCGATCACTAGAGCGATCATTCTCAAGTACTTTGAGTGGTTGGTCCCCAGATGGATGGAGGATAGCAAAACGACAGCACGGTAAGACCCACACCTGGACGTATTTGTCAGACCATAAGGGTGTAAAGCTAAACGAGGAAACTCACAAGTTCGCAATAGAAGCTCCTTTATCAAATCATTTACAATGCTACTGGCAGAATATCGACCTCTTCTTTTCTAGTAAGGCGAAAGCGGCAACCATGTAAGGTCTTCATCGACATTTAGAGGGAATGAGACTGTTGGAAAACAAAGTTCGGCATTGTGTAGCTAAGAAAACAAAACACGATGAATCAATAGAATAGTATACAGTCAAAAATTCACTGGTAACATTAGTAAAGGAACTATCTTCCTTTATCTTCTTCCTCCTGTGAGGCAACCGTCGTCTATACCATGGGTCAGCGCAACCCCTGGGATTGTCACCTTCTATTCAACAATGAAACACTTTCTATGATTTAGAGAGTTGTAGATGACGAAGTTGATCGTGAACGAAACACGAAAAACAAGATCCAAAAAGACAAAGTGTAGCTAATATGTTTAGTATATTTTTGTTGTTGTTTGTTGCAGTACCATAGAACAAAATTAGCGGAGAAAAAAACAGAAAGGAAAGAAATTTTATATTCTATAAAAAAAATTATAGAAAACGATGTAAATGGGCAACTCCGAGTTGAATCAAGGTCTGTCTATGTTCCACTTCTTTCCAATCAACTGTATTACATGTCCAAATAGTTATTCTACTGATCCAAATGATCTAAAGAAACTTACTCTTTCAAGTCAGTAGGAGATAGCAATTAAATATATGAGCAACAGTTGCGCTTGAGAGTATTGTTTCTAATCTGAAAGGTATTTTGGAATATTTCTAGTCTTTATACAAACAAAAGAAAGTTACGAATTATAAAATCTTACTAAATAATAAATTAATGAGACAAGTATTTGAAGCACTTTTTTTTTCCAACTCCAAGATAATGAAAATGACGGTTACCATTATTATATTACACTTAACCAAAACTATTAATAGTTTTGTATTTACATAGAAACTCTACTGACCTATAATCACCGATGATTAAAAGTTCGAAGTATTATAAAAAGTAATTTACCTTCATTATTTATTAACGGTCAATTATCTATTAGCAAGTAATAACAATTAAAATGCTAGTTAATTGTCATTGAGTTTGTGATTAGACCTGTGGTTAAATCATAGATCGTTAATTCAACATGATATCAACTATTTCAAAATATTGTAATACAACATACAAAAAACTAAAGGTGTTAATGCTAAAAACCTACTATCATATTTCGTAAAGTTTTCAATCATTTAAGGTTTCCACCTCCTGTTTATAAACACCATAAACTAATATATTTTGATACTTTGCCAGCACAAACCTGGTCACAGCATCATGTATTTAGTTTTGACTCACAACACTTGTTGTTGCTACTAGCTATTACAAGAAGTAACTTAGAAATGTTTTTTTTACATCAATTCACAAAATCAAAACTTCGAAAACATATGCATGAACACATATTAAATTTAACACCAAATGTCTGATTGTTTGTTATCGAATATTCATGCAAAGCTACGCAAAGCAAACTCTGCTCTAGCAGTTTTTTATTCTGAACTGAAAGACAACCAGTGGATAACACCAACTCTTGGACTACTCTAATCGAATGCTGGGAATTTACAGTCACACTTATTATGTACCCACAATCTCAAAGTGCAGAGTACAATTTTTATGGCAACACTACGAGAGCCATGGATCTTGGTATCCACAATTCATTACATCAAATGCGAGCATTGGTAAAGCTACAAAGATTTAGAAAACATCGGATAACTTAAAAGAACACAATTAAAGAACCTAGACAAAACTAAAATTTAACCGTTTTAAATACTAAACGAGATTTCAGAATTGCAAAAATAATAACTATAAGTACAAACTTAGGCTTAATTAGCTTATAGAAAAGAAACTTGTAATCGTTCAGCAATTTAAGTTTATTGAAAATCCGAAAAG